TACTCAGAAGAGAGGCTCATGAATAGTAATTAGACAGGCCAAAATTGACTAAAAATATATTGAGATGGTATATATTCTTAAGGACATCAAAACCTAAAATAAAACTCCAGAAAGGTGTAAAATATGTGACCTTTAAAGAAAGTTTTTGTCAGAGCCCTTGTTATTCTTAATTTTGACATTAATTTTCATTTTTACACCAGACATATATATCAGTTCAAAATATCGGTTATCGGTCTACTTGATCTGTAATAATCGGTATCGTCATCGGCCCTGAAAAACACTTCTCGATCGACCCCTAATATATACATAAACATACAGTATTGGGGGTGATGCATTACAGGTAATGCGAGTCATGTAATCAGATTACTTTTTTCAAGTAACTAGTAAAGTAACGCATTACTTTTTAATTTACAAGAAAATATCTGAAGTGCAGAGGCGTTGTGTGCGCTGTATGAACATGATGTTAATGTAGTTCTAGACTAAATGTCAACATGCATTTACTCGTCTCACTCGCACAAAAACAGACTCAGTATTCCTCAAAACTAAAGATGCTGAAGAGTGTTGAACTTTCGTCTCTTGTGTCCTATTCTTCATGCAATCCAGAATGGCAGCACAGCTGAAAGGTTTGCTTGAGCTGTGCCCTCTGCTCTAAAGATTGTGAATTTACATTTTCTTCAGTACGAGGCTCATTCATTTCACTTTTAGTATGAAAGGGCTTTTACATTTGTTACATTTTACATTTTTACATTACATTTCACAACTTTTTATATTAAAAACAAAATAGCAAGCCCAGCCCAGATGAGAAAAAGTAACGCAAAAGTAACATAATGCATTACTTTCCATAAAAAGTAACTATGTAACGTAATTACCAACTTTTTTAGGGAATAACGCAATATCATAATGCATTACTTTTAAAAGTAACTTTCCGCAACACTATACACGCACATATATATATATATATATATATATATATATATACTGTATATATATATAACGCATTAAAAGTAACTCGAGTTATGTAATCAGATTACTTTTTCAAGTAACTAGTAACATATTACTTTTAAATTTACAAACAAGTAATCCAAGTTACTTTGTTTTCCCAGGTGCAGAGGCACTTCCTTCAGCCTGAGGCTTATTCATTTCACTTTTAGTGTGAAAGGGCCTTTACAGCTGCCAAAAATATAAATTTGGGTTTTTTTGTTTAATAAAAACAAATAAGCAAGCTCAGCCCAGATGACAAAAAGTAACACAAAAGTAACAATGCATTCATTTTCATAAAAAGTAACACAATTAGTTACTTTTTAAGGAGTAACGCAATATTGTATTGCATTACTTTTAAAAGTAACTTTCCCCAACACTGCTTGTAAGTAACCGTATATTTTTATTTTTGGTGATGTGTGCATTTTCTTAGCCTGGCCTGTTTGTGTGATTGTCTTGCAGGGTGAGAGTATTGAGGGTAAACCAGGCACCCAAGGAAACACCGGAGAGACCCTGGTGATCGGGTATAAAATGCTTTCATTAATATATTTCATGCTCACTCTAACCTTCCTCCTCATTCTTCTTTTATTCATGCATTTTTGTTTCAGGGTCCCCGAGGACCTCCTGGGGAAATTGGAAGTAAGGTAAAGAAAAGAAGTCAGTGTATGACTTTATTGTGGCTTGTGTCATCAAGGTACAATGAACAAACTTTCTTTTTTTTGTTTAATAAAAACAAATAAGCAAGCTCAGCCCAGATGACAAAAAGTAACACAAAAGTAACAATGCATTCATTTTCATAAAAAGTAACACAATTAGTTACTTTTTAAGGAGTAACGCAATATTGTATTGCATTACTTTTAAAAGTAACTTTCCCCAACACCATATAGGCTGACAAACAGATTACATTTAGTTCATGAAAGTGACAAAATGCATGTTTATCTGTTTAGTAAACACATTTTAATACAGTGATCTGGTTTAATTTAAACCGTCATTGTTCAGTGGAAGTGTTTACGCTGATTTAAGAGAGTTCGTGCAGGTTGTGTGTGTTCATATGTGTGTAAACACTGGCTGTCTAAAGGTCGATGCTGTAGTGCAGTACAAATAGTGATTTTTAAGACTGCTGTCTTTAGAAACACTGAAATAGTAAAAGTGAACCTCCTCTGGACTGACCTAAATCGAGTCAAACAACTCAAAAAGGTGAGCAAATACTCATGATTATTCAAAAGAGCAGAGAACAATTCAAAGATCTGTGCTTGAATGTTTTCTGTTTGATTTGGGGTGTTTGTAGTGATTATATTAATATAAAGCTGTGCTGTAGATATTAACTACTTTTGAACAAAATGTAATACCTGTTCACACTGAGAACGATAACTATATTCCAACAATATCATTCCTCTGTGTTGTTATATTTGTGGTTATTGTGAACTTATTCTCATGGAATTAAAACAATTTAAAAGTTCATCATTATCGTTAAGGCCCGTTCATACCATGAACAATAACCATAGCAAATTGCAATAACTATATTAGCGTCCACATTAACAGATGTTTAACTGAGCAACAAATTTAGGTTATAAAAACATTGTGGGAACATTGTTTTGAAATGTGTCTAAAATGTCCAGATTTCGTCGTGATTATAACGTTATTTAAATGTTGCAGAAATGTTTCTTACAATGTTCTGCTAACTTTATTTTCACCCAAAATATAACACTATTTGAACGATTAGTTTTAATATTCTAAGAATGTTAAAATGACAATTTTTTTGTTGTGATTAGAATGTTATTTCAATGTTTTTTCAAAAACTTTCTGCTAATTTAATTTTTACCCAAAATATAACGTTATTTAAAAGTTTATTTTTAATATTCTAAGAACATAAATGTCCTTTTTTTGGGGATTAGAACGTTATTTGAAGGTGACTAAAACGTTTTTTTTTTTCTTAAAAGTTCCACAATTTTTTTTACCCAAAATATTACGTTATTTGAAAGTTTATTTTTAAATATTCTAAGAGCATTAAATGTCCAGTTTTCATGATTAAAACGTTACAAAAACGTCTTATAATGTTAAAGTACAAATAACATCAAGACATTCCAAGAATGTTGAGCACAGAATGTTTTTTCTCAATGTTATATGAACAAGTAAAAATAACATCATGAAAACATTCTGAGAATAATGTTATATAAATGTTTTCTCATCGTTTGGAGAACATATATCAAATATTAATAAAGTCACGAGTGTTACATAAACATTGCATCTTTTTAAGTGAAGATGATAGTGAATGTCTGTCCTGGCCACTGCTACTTTCTTACAAGAGTAAATTATTAAACCAGGAAAATAAACATAAAATAAAAAAAATTTAATTTTTAATTAAAGTAATTAAATTGTTGCGTAATCTATAATAACAGACACGATCAATTTTACTCATTGAGAGTTTTATTCGGTAAGGAATAATTATGTCATCATTTTATTGCAGTCATACAGTTTGTCTGAGCCGTGCATTAATCTGAACGATAAGCTTTTATGCAGGTGGTTTTGATACAGCAGGAAATGCAGCAACTTCTCAAATCTCAAAATACTTTTATGATACACAATTAATTTAAACACAGTTATGCCATCTAAGATGGATTAAGAAACTTTAATTAATGTTGTCACATATAACAAATCCGCTTCAAAATGAAATGAATTGCTAATTACAATAGGCCTGCTCTTGACATTGAAAAATACAAAGCCTGTACAAATTTTAAAAATGGTGAAAAATAATTGGGAATCATTTAAAAAAAAATGGTTGCACATTTTATTTATCCATTAGAACTTTCATGTCATTTTATCACTAGGCTGTTACCTTGATCTTCATTATATGATGTCATTACATACAAATTAGCCAGAGATCAGTTATCACAAATGAAAGATCTGGCATCTGTCAAATTATTGCGTCTAACCTGTTTTTTATCGTTCATCAGCTGGAAAAGTGATTCCAACAACATTCTTATAGTTGTGTGTAGACTCCACTATACACATTCAATTAGAGCGATTTTTAAAACTGTATCATTATGGTTATAGTTTGTGGTGTGAACAGGCCTTCAGTTTTGTCTTGTTTATCAGATTCATTTACACCAAATCTGCGGTTTCTTGATGTCTGAATCAATGAGCTGGATGATTCTTCTCTTAATTCATCTGACCTCAGCGCTCCAGTCACCAGGTGATCTATCTGTCTGTGTGTGTGTGTGTGTGTGTGTCTGTCTGTCTGTTTGTCTGTCATGTATGTCTGTCTGTATGTATGCCTGTATGTATGTATGTCTGTCTGTCTGTCTGTCTGTATGTCTTGTCTGTCTGTCATGTCTGTCTGTCTGTCTGTATGTATGTATGTCTGTATGTCTGTCTGTCTGTCTGTCATGTCTGTCTGTCTGTCATGTCTGTCTGTCTGTCTGTATGTCTGTCTGTCTGTCTGTCTGTCTGTCTGTCTGTCTGTATGTCTTGTCTGTCTGTCTGTATGTATGTCTGTCTGTATGTCTTGTCTGTCTGTCTGTATGTATGTCTGTCTGTATGTCTTGTCTGTCTGTCTGTATGTATGTCTGTCTGTATGTCTTGTCTGTCTGTCTGTATGTATGTCTGTCTGTATGTCTTGTCTGTCTGTCTGTATGTATGTCTGTCTGTATGTCTTGTCTGTCTGTCTGTCTGTCTGTCTGTCTGTCTGTCTGTCATGTCTGTCTGTCTGTCTGTATGTATGTATGTCTGTCTGTCTGTCTGTCTGTATGTATGTATGTATGTCTATATGTATGTCTGTCTGTCTGTATGTCTTGTCTGT